CAAGAGAGAATAGATCCGCTCCATCTTCCACATGACAGCCCTTCAGATACTTGAAGACTGCAATCCTGTCCCCTCTAAGCCTTCTCTTTCCCAGGCTAAACAGTCCCAACTCTTTCAGACTTGGATTCCAACCCTCTCATCAAGGTGAGTCAGCTTGTCAGTGATGAGACTGGGAGAACTGTCAATTCCGGGGATTGAGACCGTTGGTCTCGAGGTGAGACTGAATGGGGTCAACGTGATGGCCGGACAGCAGTGGGAGCGTTTTGCCTTTTTCTTCAGAGGTGGTTCTGAAGTCAATCTGACAACAGTGGGTTGGCCTTGGTGCTGAAGTCACCAAATGGGCCCTCCCTCCCTTATGGTTATTTTGGGCCATTTTCACTCCACAATCCTTATGCTTTTTGAAAAGAGCCATTCTACTGATTTTGTGGGTAAGAATTTTTGAAGTACTTTGTGGAAGACCTTGCTGGAACTCGGCTTTGAGGCCCCACAAAGCAGCTGTATTGGAAGTATGCCCCCCCCCAATGGCGGCAAGAAGTGAACTGAGGGAAGGGAGGAGTGCTCGCCCCATCTCTGTCACGTGACCCCTTGGGCAGGAAGAGGATCTCTGCAGACAGAAGGGAGGGGGGAGCACGCCTAGAGCGTAGAAACTTCCTTTAAAAGCTTGGAAGCTCTTCTCCATGGCAGGCCTGCCGTCCCCCATGTGGGACTGCACAGAAACCACTTGAAGAACAAGGTATTATTCCAACAGCAGTCAGTCTGGTTCCAACCAAGCGGTGAAAAGGCAAAGGAGGCTCTCAGTAGCAGCTGGACACCCTGTGTGTGGAACTCAAGTCCTAAGCAGAAGAGCTGTTGGACAGGCAAAGGCCAGAAGGGCGGCACCACAGCTCTGGACACGGCCCAGGCACAATTTGTTGTTGTTCAGTTGCAGTCGAGTCCGACTCTTTGTGACCCCATGGACCACTTCACGCCAGGCCCTCCTGTCTTCCGCCGTGCTCCAGAGTTTGCTCAATTTCATGTTCATTGCCTCAGTAACACTAACCATCTCGTCCTTTGCCATTCCCTTCTTCTTTGACCTTCGATCTTTCCCAGCATCAGGGTCTTCTCCAGTGAGTGCTCCCTTCTCCTTTGGTGGCCAAAGTATTTGAGCTTCAGCTTCAATCTCTGGCCTTCCAGGGAACAGTCAGGGTTGACTTCTTTTAGGACTGACTGATCTGATCTCCTTGCAGTCCAAGGAGGGACTTCCAAGAGTCTTCTCCAGCACGATAATTCGAAAGAATTATGGGTACAATTATCATTATTTCATTTCTATACCCCCTGTAGCCAAAGCTCTCTGGGCAGTTTACAAGTATAAAAGCAATAAAATACAACAGAAAAAAAATCATTTAAGATAACATGAAAAAACATTAAAAACAATAGACCGGACCCCAAAAAGACCTAACCCAGAGTGAAAGAAAAGTACCTGGCTAATCATATCAGGCCCCTGCATGACCAGGGAGGTCTTTAAAGGCCTCCTGGGACCAAAGAGATGGCAAATATGGCGCCAGGTGGTCTGCAGCAGGGAGGATGTTTCAAAGATGGGGCCACCACCAAAAAGGCTCTCCCCCTAGTTGCCACCCTCTGAGCCTCTTGAGGGGCCGGCACCCAGAGGAAGGCCCCAGAGGTTGAGCGGTAGATTGGGGTTGGGAGAGGCGCTCTGACAGACATTATGTGCTTTTATAGGTTAAGAACAGCACCTTGAATTGGGACCAGAAGCTTATAGGCAGCCAATGCAGGCGGGTTAGAACTGGTCATGTGTTCAGACTACTGGGTCCCAGTTATTAATCCAGCTGCCGCATTCTGCACCAGCTGCAGCTTCTGAACTGTCTTCAAGGGCAGCCCTACATACACTGTGTTACAGTAATCTAATCTGGGGATTATCAGAGCATAAATTATTGAAGCCAGGCTATCCCTGTCCAGATAAGGGTGCAACTGGGCCACCATCCAAAGTTAGAATCATAGAGTTGGAAGGGATCTGTTAGAATCATAGAGTTGGAAGGGATCTCCGGGGTCACCTAGTCCAACCCCCTGCACAATGCAGGGAATTCACAAATCCCCCCCTCCACACCTGCAGTGACCGCTGTTCCACGCCCAGATTACCCAAAAAACAAAACAAAAAAAAAACTCCAGGATTGCTTCCTGACCCTAAAGTGGCAATCGGCATTTCCCTGGACGTGTAAGAAAGGGCCATGAGAACTAAGCACTCCCTCTCATGATCTGCCTGAGTTCACAGAAGTCAGTAGAAAGCTCTCTGGGCCACTGATGCCCACTGACTGACCTTCAAGTGACAGAAATGGACCAAGGAGAGCCCCCCAGCTGCAAACCTCCTCTTTCTTGCACCCTCCTTCAAACAGAGCATCTATGTCACAGGGTGACTCACCATGCTGGAGGACCAGGAGGGGGAGAAGGGAGAGGCCGGCCTTTGCAGAGAGCCCAGGAACCAGCCACACACACACACCCCGGCCCGCCTCCAGCCAGGAATACCCTTCTCCCCTCCGTGCTCAAAGCAACCACCCACTCAAGTCAAACAGAGAAGCTAAACAAATTGAATCCCAGTGAACTTTTATTGAGCTCCTTCTCTTCTTTAAAAATAAGCCAGTTTCTTTTACCATTCAGTGCTTTTGCTTTTCAGCACCACGACGGTCAAGCCTTCCACCATATACCTTGTGTACAGAAATGCACATTGAACCAAAAACTGAGCTCAAGTGGACAGTTGCCAATTACGAGTTTCCAAAAGAAAGTTCATTCTCCCTCCCACCCCACCCCCCAACCTTTCCAATTCTAGTCCCCCCGGTTCACAGTGAACACAGCCTGGGCTGAGGACCAAGGAAAATGCCATGTTGCTTAAACTGAACACAAAACAGCCCTTCCCCCCACCCAAATTTTCCAGTTGTCTTAGTAAAGGGAATAGTGACTTTATTTCCAGATTCTGCCCCACCCCCACCCCCCAATTCCTGGTTAAAACACAGCAAGGCTGTATCTTAATATATCCCCACCCTCCCCAAATGCCTGCACAGGACATTAGAACACTGCCAGAAAAGGGGGGGGGGGAGGCTTGGTCACCTCCCCAACCCCCAGAGGTCACCACGAAAGGCTCCAGCATGCCACAGCACTGTCTGAATCTTCTGAAACTCTGCCGGGAGAGGAGTGGCCACTGTACCCCATCAGTGGTGTTCCTTGTGGCACCCTGGGCACCAGCAGCAGAGGTCAGCCTCCTGCTGGCCACCGCTGTGCCTCATGTGGCAGCCACGCCCCCCGGCAGGGATCAGCAGCTCCTGCGCAGGCAAACCCACCCCTAAAAGAAAACCAGAATGAGATGTCCGTTGCTAACACCTCCCTCTGCCTTTGCGTCTGCCTTCCCAGATCTTACCCAAATCCTGACACAAAAGCCAGAGGAGGAAAGGAAAGATGCTCCCATCTCATTCTGAAGAAATTAAAAGCGTCAAGTAAGCCCAGCCCCCTCCCCCCTCCCCCCCCGGGCAAGTGCAGCCCCTTTTGGGAAGAGCACACCAAGGCAGGGAACTCAAGGCCCCCAAGAGGCTGCATGCCAGAGGGGCCCCTCTTGACACACTCGACTGGAGGGGTGAAGCCGGCCACAAGGCCCCTCCCTCAGTGCTCCTTCCCTCGGACACTACAGAGCACACACACACGAGAGGCTGCTCTGGGCTGCTGCAGTTCGTGGACATTGAGGGCAGGTTACTTTTAGGGACACCACCCTTAGGATTTGTTTTCAGATGGGAGGGGGAAAAAAGACCAGGGTCTACCTAGTCATCATGTGGAGCATCTTTCCATTTACAAGTCCTTCTACGTCCCAGAAAGAGATGGCTACTAATGAGCCCCAGGTGGCTTCCTGACACCCCCTCCCCAAGAGGCCACCTGGACACAAAGCTCAAGAATCTGGGCAAGTGGCCATTCCTCTTCTAAGAAAGCCCTATTCAAAGTAATACTACTTCCGACTTAAAATTGCTGTGCTGCAAGAGTGGCACAGGGCACAGCACCCCTACAGCACCCCTCCGCTACTCATGGCACAGGGCACCAACATCAGGCTGCATGCTCAAAGAGCCAACACTTCTGCACATACATCCCTCTGCACTAAAACGACCCTCTGTCCCCGCTGCCGGGACAACAAGCTGGCTGCAGAAGAGAAGGTTTTGCTTTGGGTCAGGATCTCCCACCTAACCCTCCTCGCCTCCTGATACACAGAGCGCTCGCCTGTCCGATGCAGCCCCAGGAAGAGCCTCAGCAGCCAAGCTGAATTTAAGTGCAGCTTTTGCTATGCTACTATGGAGTTACTTAGACAAAACATTTTCACTTTGAATGGGGTTGTCAGGAGGCACATGGTTCTAGCACAGAGCTCCAAGGAATGGGTGGTGCAAAGTGGTGGTTTTCAAATTTCAATCCAGAACAAATTCAGGAACTCTCTCAGGGCAAGAAAGTGTGCCACCGTAGGCACAATGCCAGACTACATGGTGCCCAAGCACAGAGGCGCTGTGCTCAACCAGGTGCCTCCTGGCAGCCTGCTGCTGGTCAGGAGGGAAGGGAATCCTTAAGAAGTTTACGGGTCAGTTTTTCTCAGTCCTTTTGCCTGGAGATCAGGCCAAACATCAAGCATGTTGGGAGGGGTACAATTTGATGCAACACTATGCAGCTCTACAGCACTTGCTGGTCATATACAAGACAAACAGGGCAGGAAACCACTCGAAGGGGGGGGGGGACTTGCCCTGACCCGTTCAGGCCTCTGCCAGACAGACAGGCGTGGGACAGGGGAGCAGCCAAGGGACAGGATGCACCCCACGCCAGGAGGACCCTCTAGAACGGGCAGGCGATGCCAGTGGCTCTGGTTCTTTCAGCACCATTTCCATGTTCTGCACGCTATGATCCGCCTTGACTGCGGCAAACAAGATCTTTATCTCCTGAAATGCATGCCACCACTGTGGAGGGTTTGTTTTTGTTTTTTTTTGGGGGGGGGGAGAAGAGGGAACAGAAAGGGCTGGCTCACAACTTCTACCCCATGCCTGGATCTCTTCCAAGAGTTGCAAGTGCTAGAGAAAGTGTGACCTCCCAAGAGGCCAAAACGGCAGCACTTGGCATTGCATACAGTGTTGCAGAAAACTGAGCCCCTCTCACCTGTAGCTGCGGTCAAGATCTACCTGTAATCCCTTCAGCCCCAGCAAACTTCAAAGAAAAAAGTTATACATGAACCCATAACAGAAAAGAACACATATTTACAGAGTCTATACAAGTATACACATCCGATTTTCTGTGGAACACACTTCAGAGAGGAAAGACGGCCGTGGCTCTGGACCAAGTCTCCCTAGCAAGTGCTGCAACCCCCAGCGGCGACTCATGGAAACCAGCCTGTAGTGTTCTGCCAGAGCACAAGAGCTTGTCACAGGTTCCTGCTGCGGGTGGGTAGCAAGTGGTCTTTCCTCCTGGAGTGCTGACGTTGCACTGACACAACCCAGACGTCCCAGGTTGCTCTTTTTGTTTAAATACACATATTTACAAGGTGGGTGAACTGCAACTGCATCTCAACTCCTCCATTTGATTTTTTTCTTTAAAAAAAAGGTTAAACAAAAAGTATTACTGACAAGTGTTACATCCCAGCCCGGCTTGTTTGGAGGGGAAGGGAGAGACAGTCGAGGGGAGGGGATGGAGGTGGGAGAGACTTTGATCTGGACCAAAATGACTCCTTGGGCTGTGTCTGAAAGGTGATATTCTGAAGGGTCTCATATAGCATAAGGCACTTTGCACAAATAAGGAACAAGCTCTTTAGCTTAAAGACGGATGAGGAGCCAGGGGGAGAAGTTGAAATGCACTCAGCTGGGTGGCTGGAGGGGAACTGGAAACGGCAGTCACGCTTGTGTTTAGGAGTCTTCTCTTTTCAGAGTTCTTCTTCTCCACAAAGAAAGAAATTAAAACCAGCAGTTAGTGCAACTAATTTCAGTCAGCACACAGTGCAAACAAGTGGGAAAACAAAAATGGTATTTCCTTCCTATCTTCTGCTTTCTTCCTCACAGCCAGAATTTTTTTTTAAAAGGGAACAAGAAAAAAAAAGCTCTTTAATCTTCATAGATCCAAAATGAAAAGATGAAAAACCCATAAAGAGAAGGGCATCCCCAAAGAAACAACGTGTCACATATCCGGATCAACGGGCTTTAGCTTCTGTGCTTGAGCAAAGCCTAGAAAAGAAAAGAAGACCCCTGTGAGCAGCAAACCCACCGTGCTCAAGAGCTGCTCGTATTAGTGCAGCTGGCTAAGTTTGCCAAGGCGGAGGCAGAAACCGCCCTGGGCGCTGTGAAGCACTGAGGGTTACCAAGTACCTACCG